CATCTTCATTTGGGGTCATTGAAATCGGTAAGTTTTCGCGATAGAACCGATTTCTGTCAGATTTGTAAATCTTAGCAAGGTCGTAAAAGCTTTTGTTGTTTCTTCTGACTAAATGCAACATAACCATATCTTATACTTCTTCATTTTCCATCTCTTCAGTATAAATCATATACTTATAGTTCTTTTCCTTTCCTTTTGGTACCGAACGTGGTATTCTTTTCTGAATGCTTTTGTCTTTTGCTTCAAGCTTGTTTCCATCTCTTCACGTTCTTGTCTATGAATTTCGTCAAGAAGTCTGTAAATATACCAAGCATAACGAGGCGAAGCCCACATTGCAACAGCATTTACAAGAAGTCTATGTACATAATATCCTCTCAAACCGTTTGGCAATTTTTCACGATTTTCATAGAGTTTTGGCGACTGGGGTTTTTTACCTACTCGCTGTTCTTCACTGTTTTCAGAAAAAAGTATGTCTCGCTGTAACTTCGCTCAAAAGTTCTTGTGTGCTTTGGTTCCTAAACCAGTCTTTAGGAAGCTTAGTATCTGGAGCATAACATGCTGTCAAAATACTTTGCATTTGGTACATATCGTCTTTGACCGAACGAATGAGACGGAGTTGTTTGTTAAACTGAACCCACTCATATTCTTCATTTATAGCTTCATGGACTATAACTGTTGTTGTGTTCTCTGTTGTTGACATATCTGTCTTTACATACAAAATAAAAAAATAAATAAAAATAAAACTAACTTTATTTTTTCTATCTTAAGGAAATTCATGATTTTTGTGCTGAATTCAATAAAAATATATTTTAGGTGAAGCCCACATTGCAACAGCATTTACAAGAAGTCTATGTACATAATATCCTTTCAAACCAGGAGCCAAATTCTTGCGATTTTCGTACGGAATCTCTTCTCTCGGTTTTCCGAGGGAAGCAAGCATATGAGGAAATTCATGATTTTTGTTGCTGAATTCAATAAAAATAATGTTTAGGTGAAGAGGTGAGATTTCACCTGTTTTTTCACCTCTTTTTTCACCTCATTTCTACCCCAGTTATTTTATAAACGTTTCACATGGTAAACGTTATTTTTGGAATTTTGTGAAAACTCAACGGTTTGACACAAGCCATATGCTATTTTACTCAGAATTTTGTTGCTGAATTCAATAAAAATATATTTTAGGTGAAGAGGTGAGATTTCACCTCTTTTTTCACCTGTTTTTTCACCTCAGTTATTTTATAAGCGTTTTACATGAATTGTACGATGTATATTTGAAATCCTAAACAATTTCGTAGCTTCTATTTCTTCTTTTAGTACATCGAATGTTTTAACGATACCGAAAGTTTCTTTATACTTCTTCTTGACGTCAGATAGAAGGAAATCGTCAGCAGTTGGATAGTTTTTGTTCAGAAATTCTAACATGTCCATTTTATTTTCTACCGGCTTCTCTGCTTCTTTCTTTAAATCTGCATAGTCGTTTCTCATTCTTTCTATCTCTTTGACGGAGTAGTTATATTTCCTCATTGCTGCTTTACATTTAGAACATTGCGGGTTCATTTTTGCGTTATACATTGAAACCTTACCTGCTAAAACAACCAAGGCGTCAATGGTTTTCTTTAAATCTGAAGCAGTTGGTTTTATCTGTTCATTCCATACCTTACCTCTTCTATCTTTATCTCTTATCTGCCATACACATTTTGCAGCTAATGAAACAAAGTTGTCGTATGTCTTAAACTCCCCATTTATATATGTCAGAGATGTTCTTATATACCATGTCGCAATCTTTGTCCATAACTTTATGGTTGCAATGAAAACCAAGGAATTCATAATTTACCTTTCGTATGAACTTCTTTATTTCTACTGAGTCAGTTGCTTTGACTTCAATTTCGTCGAATTCAGGAATAGTTAGTTTTTGCTGCTGAATTTCAGGTAGTTTAGGCAAATGGTCGATGAGGTCCTCCATTTCATAAAGATACTGTTCATTTGTTTCATCTTTCGCACTACAGTCTAAATTACTTGTTAAAAGTTCCTGCTTTATTCTTTGTATTTCTGTTTCGAAAGTATATGAAGAAGGAATGAAGCTTTTCATTTCTACTAACATAGATGTTGGATTCATGACTAACGAGTTTGGTGCTGTTGTTTGAATTGTTGTTGTGCCGATTGTTGACATATCTGTTCTTTTATACAAAATAAAAAAATAAATAAAAATAAAACTAACTTTATTTTTTCTATCTTAAGGAAATTCATGAAAATTCATGAGGGTGAAAAAACAGGTGAAATCTCACCTCTTCACCTAAATTATATTTTTGCTGAATTCAGCAACAAAATGAACGAGGTCAGGATGTATGTAAATACATTTGAATTCATTCATAACACCCTTAGTAAGCTCATAAAATGCTTGTTTTGAGGTCGAGCCACTTTTGGCTCCACCGTATTCTTTCAACCAAAACTCAAGAATTTCCTGCATGAATTTTGTATAAAAAGCAACCGTCTGAATTCAGACTGTTGCTATATTCTTCACAAAATGCCTTATAATACTCTTCCCAGGACTTATTTTCCAACAACTTTCTAAAGTCTTTCCTAAACTGACTGACTGACTGACTGACTGACGGCACAAAGTGGCTTAACGAAAACATTAATATATAAAATTCATGAAAATTCAAGAGGGTGAAAAAACAGGTGAAAAAAGAGGTGAAATCTCACCTCTTCACCTAAATTATATTTTTTGGTCCGGGAACAACTTTCTCTCAATTGGAGCTGTAGCATACTCTTTGCGTAAGCGGTTCAGACCTTCTTCGAAGTCTTGGTCTCTCTTGGACTGAGATTGGAATTGCTGGGGTGGAGCTTGCTGGAACATCCAAGGGTTGGGGAAGTAAGGCATAGGCTGAGGAGGGTAGTTCGGGAAGCCTTGTGGTGGGTAGTAACCTTGAGGTGGAAATTGGTAGTAATTCGGAGGTACTTGCTGGAACTGAGGTTGCTGAGGAGACTGTTGTGGTTCTTTAGGTTCCTCTGGTTTGGGAATGGACTCGGTTGGTGGGACGTCGGACATTGTTCTGAAACAGTACAAATATTGTTCTGAAGCAGTGCAAGTCTTGTTCTGAAGCAGTACAAGTATTGTTCTGAAACAGTACAAATATTGTTCTGAAACAGTACAAGTCTTGTTCTGAAACAGTACAAATATTGTTCTGAAACAGTACAAGTCTTGTTCTGAAACAGTACAAGTATTGTTCTGAAACAGTACAAGTATTGTTCTGAAACAGTACAAGTATTGTTCTGAAACAGTACAAGTATTGTTCTGAAAAAGTACAAGTATTGTTCTGAAACAGAAAATTTTTCTCACAAATTGAGAGCTTTTACTGGAAATTTGTTCTGAAAAAGTTCAAGTCTTGTTCTGAAAAAGTTCAAGTCTTGTTCTGAAACAGTACAAGTATTGTTCTGAAAAAGTACAAGACTAGTTCTGAAACAGTACAAGTATTGTTCTGAAAAAGTACAAGACTAGTTCTGAAACAGAACAATGGACAACATCGAGCCATTAGATGAGGCAATTTACCTTATAGAGATAAATGAAGTTGTTAAGCAGTACTTGGGCAAGGACAAAGCCAACAAGTCCCTCGGCTTCTGGTTGTCTGGAAGAGGTGCGCTGAAAATCGAAATTGAAACCGGAATTCCAATTCAAATCCCAGAAAACACTCCTGTAGACGACATAAAGGAGATGAAGAAAGAAGCTCTTCTCAAGTTCTTTGCCAAGCGTCCTTGGATACAACTTCCAAACAGAGAGAGTCCAATTCCACGAATTATACAAATTCTCAGAGCACTGTTCCACTTCTCGGGTCAGCCGTTCTACATAACCTCAGAAGGCGACATTCAGCCAGTTCAGTAAACATCTCATTTTAACTCACTTTTTTATGTTTTTTGTGAAAGTGTCAAAAATAAATTGTTTTCATGAGTTTTCTACGATGTTAGAAAAAATGTTATTTTCTAATATCTTCACATTCAATACTTTTTCAGCACTTTTCCGTAGTTATATATGAAAGACAATTCGAGATAAAAGTCATAGTACAATGGAATAATATGTTGCACACCATTTGTTGTGAACCAAACTTGAAAGTCAGAGAAACTGTTACTAGATGGTTCGTAGAATTTAGAAGCAAAGTCATAAAAGTCCTTACCAATACATAGAAAACTATTGTTGCTTGAACTGAAACTTGCATGACACATAACATTTTGAGGGTCAAACACGTTTCTATAAACCATCAAATCTGCTGGTGGAAGTATAAATTTAAATGGACCATCTGGTGGTAATGGTTCGTTCTGGTTTAGTAACCGAAGAAATTGTGCCCAAGAACGTTTGTCTACTTCCCAAAATAAAAACTCTGTATCTCTTGGAGGGTTAATTTCAATCTTTTGAAATGAAACGGTGGAGTTCATCTTGTCATATTCTAGTTTCAGATAGTATGTTCCATTTAGTAAAGAGTCGTATTTTTTTTGAAATTCCCAATAATATTTGTTCATTTGAGTTTGAAAGTCATTTAGAGTTTTCTCAAGACTTTCGTCTGAACGAACTGTAAAGATTCTCATTTCGTCAAATTTGTCTATTAGACCATCAGAACCTTTATACTGCCCATGAAAATATACTGCGAACATAAACGCGTTAGTTCTATTTGAAAACAAAACTCTTCTAAATCCTATTGCCTTTGCATCTGAAGGACTTTGAAGCCAACGAATTGGATAGTCAAACCTGTATGCTCGGGATGAAATTTCTTCATCTGAAATAGTCCTACCAGCATTTGTAAAGATATAGTCTAACGGTTTTGTATCTGCTACTTTTGTTCTTTGTTTTTCAACCTGAAGCATTTAATATATGTAAAAATATATTGTTTTAAAATGGTATGCCATTTCATATTTCTCATCTAACAAACAAGTTTCCCAACGGTCTTCTCCAACAAACTCAGCGTACATTTCAAATAAAATTAAAAAAATGTCACTTTTTAAAAAATAAATTTTTACTTCATGCAATGTTTTATTTCTGTGCCGTCTTCAAGTATGCCCCAATATTTCCTTTTCGATATTACATGAACTTCGGAAAATACCTTATCTAGCTTAAAACAGCCCATCTTCTCACCGACTAAACCCATTTCAATGAGTTTGTTATAGCCTTCTTCGTTCGTCATGAGTGCGTCAATGTTCTCATAGTAAACCTTCACTTTGGATTTGACTTCGGAGAAGAATTTGTTGTAGTTGTCAATGACTGCCTTTGCGAACTGAGGGTAAGACCAATGTTCGACAATAGGTTTTAATGTGGTTACTAAGCCACTTTGACCTTGAGTGAATTCGTACTTCAAAACAAAAGGAGAAAACCTTTCAACAAAGTTGTCGACCTTCTCATAATGTTTACTCTTCATCTCTTGAGGTTTCTTAATGGAATATCCCCATGTCGAATTCATAAGCAATTTGAGTGTCATTGCAAGTTTGGGGTTTGAAGCTTTCCTAATATCATACAGTTGTTGTATGACTTTTCCAACTGTATAGTTCCTTCCCGGGAACTCACCATCTTCGTTTGGAATTCCAGTCGGAATATATTGGACAAACCTCATGTATGCAGCGTTAAGGTCGACATAGTATATCTTTTCATCTGAGTCGAACTTGTCGCAACCAATTGGTCCAGTTTGTGGAAATTCAAGTGAGTCTCTTATCTTCTGAGAAACTTCTCCTGTTATCTCATAAACATCGTCGAAGCAACCTGTTTCATATAAAACCTTCTGACCTAACTCAGATGCTCTCCAATACAATTTGACGTCAATTGGATGTCTCAATGGAAGTTTGTTTATAGCATCTTGAAGTTAGGGTTGTACAAACTGGCACAATTTTGCGGGCCGCGTGCCAGCTCCTGGCAGGCGGCCAAAATCAAAAAAGTGGCCAAAAATCGGGCCTCGTGGCGTGGAAAGGATGTCGCCCTTCGGGCTCCACCCTTTCCACGCCACTCGGCCTATGACCACAATTATATAATATGCTCATTATTATTTTTTCTTCTTTTCTCTTCTTTTTTTTTCTTTTTCTCTTTTCTTTCTTCTTTTTCCCTTTTCCCTTCTTTTTTTCTAGTTTTGGAAAGGAAAAAGTAAAAAATTTAATAATTAATTTTATTACTATGAAAATATACTTTTTAGCTTATATTGTAAGCTGTGAGAGTTTTAAGTGATGGAAGATATAAATCAAATTTGAAATTCAACAAATCTTGTTATGATTAAGTTGAATATTGTACTCTAATTAAGAGTTTTCAGTTATGAACTCAGGTATTATATAATAAAAGTATAACTCAAGATAATAAAGAGGTTTTTAAAATGTAGATCTGAAAATCAAACTACCATGTTTGATATGATTAAGTTGAATAATGTTATTTTATTAAATGGTTCAAATCTGTGAAATCGGCAATTACAAATTAAAGGCGTAGTTCAAAAAATTAAAGAGATTTTAAAAATTTAATATCAGAATTAAACTAAAAAAAGGATTTAGTTATTTCAGTAATTATCAGAAAAGGTTAAAAAGATAGGGTAAGTAATGAGACTTGAGTGAGATGTGAGAAATCATATGTAAATAATTAGATATCTGATGAGTAAGGTAGTAATGAGAGTTAAGATCTGGTTAGTAAGGTAGTAATGAGAGTTAAGATCTGGTTAGTAAGGTAGTAATGAGAGTTAAGATCTGGTTAGTAAGGTAGTAATGAGAGTTAAGATCTGGTTAGTAAGGTAGTAATGAGAGTTAAGATCTGGTTAGTAAGGTAGTAATGAGAGTTAAGATCTGGTTAGTAAGGTAGTAATGAGAGTTAAGATCTGGTTAGTAAGGTAGTAATGAGAGTTAAGATCTGGTTAGTAAGGTAGTAATGAGAGTTAAGATCTGGTTAGTAAGGTAGTAATGAGAGTTAAGATCTGGTTAGTAAGGTAGTAATGAGAGTTAAGATCTGGTTAGTAAGGTAGTAATGAGAGTTAAGATCTGGTTAGTAAGGTAGTAATGAGAGTTAAGATCTGGTTAGTAAGGTAGTAATGAGAGTTAAGATCTGGTTAGTAAGGTAGTAATGAGAGTTAAGATCTGGTTAGTAAGGTAGTAATGAGAGTTAAGATCTGGTTAGTAAGGTAGTAATGAGAGTTAAGATCTGGTTAGTAAGGTAGTAATGAGAGATCTGCGGGCAGTAATGATACATCTATGAGTACATAACTAAAACCTGAGTTCTATGAGCGAAATCTGAGAGCTAAAAGCCGAGAGATCTAAGGTAAGTAATGAGAGAAGAGAATTTGAAATTTTACAAAATACGTTTACTCATACAAAATAATTCGCATTCTTTTATAACGAATCTCAATGCCAATTAATACATAAAACAGATTTTAGCAATCAATTGCAAGATTTAGAAAGATTTTATTTATAATCTCAGCCAAATTAACAAATATTTTATTGATTTCGTAAAAAATAGCAATAAAACATAAAAATATGACATTCTATTTTTCCAAAAAAAATTCAAAAATCATTTTTTAACATGAAATTTATATTTTTTAATTTTTTATTAAATTTTGAATTTTTTTTTGGAATTTTCAATCATGTCAAAAGTCGGGATCTACAAATGTATTCTCTTTGACATAGGATAAAAACATCCTTTCTTATAATTTCATTGTAAAATAAAATTTTCTTAAATTTATTGAATCCAAACTTAACTTTGCAACGTTTTATTATCATAAAAACTAAGAAACATCAGGTAAACTTCAATTTGGAGAGCTTAAAATCATATCTAAATTGAAAAATAAGGGGGAAAAAATTGTAAAAAAAATCTCATTAGATGGGGCAAAAAGTGACTTTTTTAATGTGGTTTTTTAAAAAATCGTGCCAGCTGGCCAAAAAAGGTGTGCCAGCAGGCGTGCCAGTTTGTACAACCCTACTTGAAGTTCTTGCAACCTCATTGGAAGTTCTTCTGGTTCAGGTTGGTATCCGAACATACCAACCCCTTGTGGAACTGTGTACTTCTTTTGTACTAGAACTTTGTCTGGAACAACTTTTGGTCTTGCTAACAATGAAAAGTTTGTTTCGTCTTTTGGTACAAAAGTTTCTGTCAGCTTGTCATCTGGAATTGGTTCCAACAAACCTTTCTCGAAAAGAATGTTTACAGCTCTGACAATGTTGCACTTACTTTTACCAAAGAATGGGTTTGTAAGACTTTCGTTCAACATGAAGTGGTTGTGGACAATTACAATCTTCAACCATGGTAAGTCTTTGTCAACAACATAGTCGTCATGTGAAGAACCTTTAGCTGTAGGTATGTTGACTCGGATATTGACATTTGCCAACGGTGCAATTTTTGCCAATTGACCTCTGAGAATGTACCTTGTCTTCACACATGACTCAAGATACTTCATCTTCTCATCTGTAACAAGACCAGAGTTTCTGAGACATGTAAGAATACAAGGTTCATTGACAATTGTTTCAATTGAATTGTAAATTCCATACCTTGTCAAGTCAATGTCAGACTTATTTATGAACGGGAAGTATCCAGCATGTTGTCTGACTGCTTGAGGGTTAGGTTGGTACCATTCGAACTTGACACTTGCAATTCCTTCAATTGCATTCAAAATGTCTGAGTCGGAGTCAACCATTTGTTCTCTCTTTGTAGTCTTGAAAGCGTCAAGAAGTTTTTGCGGCTGTTTGTTCATTGCCATGTGCATAGTAAATGTGACCATCCAAATCTGTTATGGTCAAGCTGAGATTGTGTCCTTTCTTATTTCCGTCTTGAATTGCAGCAAGTACTCCCATGAAGCCTTCTTTGTTCTTTCCTTCGTCAAAGTTTACTGTAAAGGTTCGACCAGATGTAATTTGACTTCTAACTTCACGATACTTTTCATATGCATATCTTGTTCTTTCCATGGGAGCATGTGCGTCTTCACCTTTTCCTTTTTTCCTTCTCAAAGGATGCAATTGTTCGTCATGTTTCCAGTAGAATCTGGCAAAGCCGTCGTGTCCTTCAACTTGAGGTTCACTAACATCGAAAGGCATGTCCATAAGACGTTCTTCTTCTAACCTCTCTAGTCTGTTTGGATAATTTGCACGTGCTGTTTCCAAATCCATTTCGTAGCGAAGACCAGACAATTTGTCATAGACTTTTATGGGTCTTCCCTTCCTATATTTAAAATTCTTCGAAACTCTCCAACCATATCTTTGTAACTCTGCTTTTATTCTAGCAGACTTTCTGTCCATTCTATATGGGGGCATTTTTATAAAAATAAAAAAATGTTTTTTTTCTTTACTTTACATAACCGCCTGCTGCCATAAGTCTTTGACGCCAACCCATACCAGCTAATGAAGGTTGACTTGGTTTAGTTTGGAAACTAAACTTTGGTTTTGGTTTATCTTCAGTTTTTGGTTTTTCTCTTCTATCGGTTTTTCGTCACTTTTCGGTTCCTCTGACTTTACTTCACTTGCAGGAACAGTTGTGTCGTCAACATCTTCATAAATATCATATGCCATTTGTTTTTGTTTTCCTTTCAACTTTTTGTGTTTGTTGTAAAGTTTAGAATATTTCGACTCTAAGTCAATGAGATGTTCTATAATGAACTGTTGGTCAGTGAAGTAAACTTTTCCATCTGTTGTCTCGAAAGCTCCTTCAGACTTCAATATTTTATTTGTGAGAGTCTGTTTCTTTTTTGAGATACTAGCCGTTCCATTTCTATGAAAAGTGACTTTATAATAGTTAGGGTTTTGTATTTCCAGACCTGGCACTTTCTATTATTGAATTTTTCTCTTCATCTGTAAGTTCTTTGACAGGTTTTGACAAAGGTTCTGAACTTTTTGTTTGTGGTGTCAAATCTACCGTTTTCAACTTCTTCGTTCATTTCATCTCAGTAAAAAAATTTTAGTTTGGTTTGTTTTCAACTGTTGTTGTTTAGGTTTTTTAAGTCGGTCTAAAACTTCCTGAGGTATAGGAAGAACTTTACAAACACGTGGTGTAACTGCTGGAAGCCGACAAATCCATCTTGAACCCATTTGTCTCAATGCTGTATTGTTCATTTCATCTCAGTAAAAAATTTTACATTCCCCACGTTTGAGGTGGTTGCGGTTGGTTATTGCTTACCCATTGTTGTGCATGGTTATATCCTCTGTTAAAGAATCTTTCACCTTGGTCCATATAGTGTCCTGCTTGGTTATAGTAGTCATTTGTTTTGTTATAATAGTTTCCTGCTTGTCTTCCTACATTGTCCATCCATCCTTGAACTTTTCCTCTTGTTTCAGGATTTGGAATAAGATTTGTTGCATCTCGTGCTACATCCCAACCTTTCTGTACAGTTTGTATAATAGGTTGTGCTTTCTCTTTCAGTATACCTAATGTACTCAAAATCTTCCTTCCAACTCCAAATACACCTCTGGCTATTGTTCCAACTGCGGGCAAAAATCTGGATGCGACTCCTGCTAATGCGCCAAATAAACCCATTTCTTATAGGGTAAAAAATGACGAATCCGAACAAGGACCCCTATGTTTCTAAAGCGACAAAGAAAGCACTCATGATAAAAATCTTTAGTTCAACACCAAATGCTTGGTTTATGGATATCTTGGAAAACATTC